TGGCTCGGTGACTACATCGTACTGAAGTCTCAGGTGAGAAAATGAAAATTTTCATTTGGCTCATTGAAAATCTGAAAAACTTCACATAGACCCATTCGATGGCGTTATCAACGGATCTGTGGTAGATATCAGGTAGTTTTGGAAAATGGAGACGTAGTAGCTCACCGGAGTGCTCCTATTGGTAATAAAAGGAAAGAGCTGTTTTTGAGCACCGATATCTCGAAAACTATCTGTCCTATCGGGCTGATCATAGTCTCATTCTATCGAGCGTGTCATTTTCTACTTGGAGAGCGATAATTCACGGATATTTTCGCCTTTTTTTGGCACTTTCGGCCGTCCGAAGATGGCTTGATGATCATATCGTAATGAAGTCTCAGGTGAGAGAATGAAAAATTTTATTTGGCTCATTAAAAATCTGAAAAAACTAACATAGACTAATTCGATGTCGTTATGAACGAATCTGTGGTGGAAATCGGGAAATTTCGGCAAATGGAGTAGTAGTAGCCTACCGGAAAGAATCAATAATCATGTCCATTGCATCATAAAATATCAGTCATAAATTTATTGAACATACCATGAAAATTCACAATCCACTGAACCAAAAATTCAACATGAATTCATTTGGATATTTTTTTTATGTTCCAGTTCCCACGAAAAGGGATATCCTGCAATGTTCAGGGAACATCGTGAAAACCAAGGGAAATAAGGTAGGAATTGGTGTTCTTCTTAAATTTCTGTAGGTTATATGCCTCGGGGAACACCTCCCTTGGCAATGTGTTCCAGAGCCTCGCTGTTCGTTGGATGAACGAGTCTTTGGAAAGAGATGTTCTGCAGGTCTCTAAAGTGACCACGAAGGGTGCGAAGCCTCAACTCGACGGGGTAATCTCGCGGGGACTGCCAAGGGAGGAATTGTTGATATTTCAGAAGAGCATCGTCCATGAAAATATCTATGAAAGAGTATTTATCATCTAAATTTTATTAGGCATGAATTGAAATGAACCTCACATTTCACATGATTTATTGAAATGAGCAGAAATTCAATGCACTGTTATGCTCATGAATCAAAATTGTATCCAATAAAATGTTACCTTCAAATAGTAAAACGGCATTCCATAAAAATTCGATTTTTCATTGATTATTCAAAATCCTTTTCGCTGATTTTGATAAAACCTCGCAATTGGTGTTAGTGAATTCAATTACTTATTTCTTCCTACCCTACCCGAGTTATAAGTCGGAATATTGGATGTACAATTCTGAGTCATAAAATTCCGAGATAGGAACCTATAAGTCGAAATTTTCCTCACATATCGAACCCTGAAATATTTTCCATACACTTTAAAATATATACTGAGAATATTCCTAGATCATTCTGAGGATGTTCTCTTTATATTCATAGAATCTTCTCAGAATGTTCTGAAAAATATCATGAGCTTGGAACGTGAATTTCCGTCCCATTTGCATGTTCTTAGAATATTCTCAGAACGTTCAGTGCACCTTGTGAGAACATTCTGAGAATATTCGAAATCTACCACCGGAATATTATGAGAAGATTCTCACAGAATCACTTTGTGTTGCCTAGGTGTAGGTATAGGTACATAGGTAGGTAGGTACATACATGTAGCATATGCTACATAATATATATATTATGCAGTTATGAATTTTATTTTTCCTATAAACATTCTGTATAAGCCAAAGTAATAAATAGGTAGATACTTCCAGAGAAACATGCATACAAATGTTTTTCGAAATAATCAATTCCGGACCATGAAAAGTGGGGCGCAAAAACTGCAAAAATGCATGGTGTTTTTCTACTTTTATTTCATTATCCTCTGAAAACATTATATTTTGATCTCGAAAGAAAGCGTTTGGAACATAAAGATATTATGAACTATTATGGCCTTATATTGACTACCTACATAGGTATAATAGGATAGATGATACTAACCTAACCAAGGCTATAGGAATTGTACAGATAATTATAGGATAGGTAATTCCGAGGGTGATTCCAATTTTTTCAGATTTGTCATAAATATATTAGCGATAACAAGGTGATAGGTCTTCAACATTCATTCATCTATTTTAATGAGAATTATGTGACAATTAAATCTGTTGAAAATCAGTTGATGTCAGTGCTCATCGATCACCTTCTTAGAGGTCATCATTTATTAGGAAAGTCACTTTGCATCAGCATGAGGTTCGTTAATCTGTGACCAAACCGATTAGCAAGATAGTGGTATCGGTGGAATAGAAAAGTAGCTAGCTAAAGTTAAAATAGAAACTAGAAAGGGACCAACTAATGAAAATGCTAATACAGTGAATGATCGATAGGCTATCATTCGACTCATTGCCGTACCTCAATAAAAAAAGGGTAAAAAATTCAAACTGAAATGATTCATCAAGTCTATTGAGAACGAAAATTGAGTTAAAATCGTCTGGTGCATCATAGTCTGTAATAAAATAATAAAAATAAACTTCTAGATGACCGAGGATTGGTCCATCCTAAGATGGAAATTAACCTCAAAACATTTCCCGGTTTTATGTTTCTATTCACAATTGATTATTCCTATTATTTTAGAGTCTTTGTTCTACTTGTGATAGCTATATCCCAAAAATGTGTCTGAAATATCATGAAAAACATTTCTATGGTTATCTTGAATGGCTTGGAAAGGACATTTGCGCCTGCGTATTTCTTATATTTTATTGTTGATTTGGTTTGCATAAATGATAACGTTTTAGCTACTCTTTACTTGATAATTGATAATTGTTTCTTGATAACTGTAAATTGATGCTGCATGAATCCACCCTTACCTTACGAGGGGAAAAATTTGAAAAGAACAGTTGAAAAATCTAGACTGAAAAATTCTCTTTGGACTTGATGAACAGTGAAAACCCCCATTGAAAAGTCGTTGGCATCTTGTGAACGCTGTTGTGAATTCAATGGTCACCCGAATAACCCTCAATATGAACTGATCGAAAAAAGTCGAGGATATTATCAAAAATTAACTAGGGAAGACTTTTTTTTTATATCCCCTCTCATCTAATAAAGTTCGGCTAGAAAAAAATGGCTTCTGGTAAAAGAATTTTTGCTCTATAGAAGTTCATGAATGGAGTTAATATTAATTTTTTTAATGCCATTGCTATCATATCAATCATCAGTCAGTACCCAAAAATTTGCAAATACAATGAAATGAGATTTCACTCACCACTATAACATATTCCGTTCCACCAATGAGCGGTCATCTTCTCATTTTGGAACAACAAAATCGCAACCACCTAGTCATGTGATCGGTCTCTGGATAGGTACAGCCCTTTGGCCTCGCGACCTCCGGGCAGCACCCGGATTTATAGGAATACTCCGACAGCCTTGTCCAGTTGTCGTTTTCCAACAACTGTCTTTATTGCCCCCCAGAGATCGATCACATGACCATCCCTCAATACTCGACGTCATCGATAGAACAGACCATCTGAAAGAAATCAGAAGTGGAATTTAATCGATCTATTTGAAAATAATGTGTCTATCAGGAAAATGCTGCATTCTGATGACAATACAACTGGGCTACTATAAAATTTTACAGAACTGAATATATTATGGATTACTAGACCGGTTTCTGAACGGGTTCTTTTCTGATATAGTAGATTCCATTTAGAAAACCTCTGACTCAATACAGAGAATACGAAAAGAAATTGAAGTCTCGTTATGCTTCTTTCATTTAGCATAGGATTGGAAATACTGTTTCTGATATATGCCCTGTAGATCTTGATCTTGAATCTCGCTGGGTGACAAAAAACGCACCAAGCTATAGCGTCGCTATATCAATCATCCGATTTCGAAAAAACAAAGGAACAGAAAAAAATATCACGAATCGAAAGACAATAAAAAAATACAGTGCCATTTGAAAAAAAAGTTGACAGTCGATCACGTTTCATCTGAAATTTGAAACAATAATGGTCAGAGCCTACTCATAGTAGGTATCCGATGAGTAATTCAAATTGCTGTTTTGTTTTTCAAAATCGGATATTCAGTAGCGGTGCTATATCATGGGGCGTTTTTTTGCTTTCGGCGAGGACAGAAGCACCAGACGTTCAATAATAGTTCAAAGATGTAAATTTTCTCGCGATTATCAATTGTGTCATTCAAATTCCGGAAACACCCAGTATATATAAGGTAATCATTTCAATGTATCATTGAAATCGATTATGTATATATATGTCGGTGTCAGTTGGTGAAACCCGTCATTCCTTGAAATGCCTAGTCATTTCACGCATAACAGCGTTAATTCCATTTTAAGCCGTTACTCTGTTTGCCGGAAGGCTGAAGAAAATATCCTATTTGCCTAGGCATAAAAAAAGGAGACTACTTCTCCTGACCAAACTCGGCATAAATGAATATTTTTCCTAGATAGTATATTTTTAGGAAAATAACTTGGGAGAACAATGAGACTACTGTTTGTAAACAACCTAACCTGACTCGGCCTAAATGAACCTCCCTTCCGTTATTACAGGGAATGCCTGAAACTATTTGGCAAACGGTGTATGAAATTTAGAGTTACGCTTTTTGCCGGCAATACGTGAAGTGCCTAGGCAATCTAGGTATTTCAGGGAATGACGGATTTAACTTTTTGACGCCGACATATGTAAACTGGCCGACCAACTGAATATAGCAAACCCAATAAAGTCATATGTAAATAGATATTCATTGTTATAATGCCCGTATTGTGCGAGTTCCGTTACAAATCATTGTTGAATAGCAGATAATAGAAGATTACTCGTCGAAGGTCAAAAAGAATGATTATTATGGGTTTACAAGTCCTGTTCCTCGTCGTGCCCTACGCCTATGTATATAATCAAGGACAGTCGAAGCCTAACGTCGCATGACGTCGATTACGAGATGGCAACTACTTGTTGCTTCTCGGCTAACTTCGTTTTTCTCCAGTCCAGCATCGCTAAAAGTCGGAGTCGCTGATTTCCAGAGGTCTAGCGCCAGCGCAGGACACAGCTTAGGCCTTCGTTTTATAGTGCAGAGTACACCGGTTTTCACACTTTCTCAACCAACATTGGCAGGAATCATGGCCAACTACCACAAACCAGAATCCAAAGTTGTTCAAGAACTCAGAGATATTGCCAACAAAATAAGGATCCATTCTATTACTTCTACTCAAGCTGCGAAATCGGGGTGAGTGACAATAAAATTGTGCTACCATGTGACGATTGTTTGATTGTGGCATTGTGGCGTGTTGATACAATGCTGCCAAATTGTTAAATCAGTGAAAGTATAGCTAATATTATATTATTAAAAACAAATAATAAAGCATGGAAATCATGTTTCCTTTCATAATATAATCTTGAACTAAATGGATTCTTTTCTATGCCAATTCTAATGGTTTGGTTGGGATAATATCCATATCCGTTAGACTTTGCTATCTTATCGCTATATTTAGGTATACTTCATACCGGCAATTCGTGATTAAGCACTATTTTATCGACGTTTATCATCCACGTAATATTATTCCTAATGTTAGTTATTTATTTGAATAAATATCCTTGAAAATTTACATGTTTTTTCACCATAAATTCTCTACCAAAGCTCATTAACCTTTTTAATTAAATTGGAATTGGTAGGTTTCAATGATTTGACATTATTTTTATACATATTTCATGTTCCATAGTAAAACAATGATATAGAATATTAAAAATGTAAGTTCACACCATCAACAGGTTAATTTTACTAAAAACGAATTTTGTTGGACCACTATGAGTATGTTATTGATCATGTATATATAACATACCCTGATCACAGTATATTATCCTTTATCGTCTGAAGGATAATAATATATACTGTGCCCTGAAAACTCATATCTGAGGTTATATTATTTAGGTGATCTATATTTTATGCTTCTGATAATTTCAGCTATAGTTGAGATTGAAAGACTACATACAGGTACCTATATCACACATGATGTTATCTGCTTTGATTAAAGATCATATATATTAAAATATATAAATAAATATATATACCTATAATATAAATGAATTATTAGGCATAAAATATATTATTATAGGTTTTCATATTCATCTACTCACCTTTGTATGCATGAGCCATATGATAAGCATCAGGTTCAAGTTTTCATTCAAGCAATAACTCAATTAGAAAGATTTCTAATCATTGCTATGCATTTTTTTCCACAACAGGGGGGATGCAAGAGTGCACCCCCTTGAATTCTGCTGCCGGCGCCCATGTATACAATATTATTGTGCTGCCTATGTAAAATATTATTAAGGTAGGTATATGTTTGATGTGGCTGCACTCTTTCATTTTTTCAATTCCTGCACACAAATATGGAGACACTATTTTCATGGTACATAACACAGAGATAGCCAATTAGCTACATATAATCAGGGTACTATTTTATCTGCTATTTGGAGCTGTCAGCTATCTACCCCCACACCTAAAGTTGAAGTATTCCATCAATTTCCTTGTTGATTATCATAAGGAAAATGAAAAATATGCCAAAGCATCACTATCATACAATGAAGCAAGATATGTAGTATGTATATCAAAATAATGAGTCTTACCTGGTACAAATACAAAACAAAACAAAACATGATATCTATAAGAACAGGACAAAATGTTATTGTCTATCAAATTCGCGAACAGCAAACTCCTTCTCAATATTCACCATAATTTCATTGAAATTCTAAAAAGTAATGCCAGAGATCTTCATTTTTAATTCTTTTTTCACCATACTGTGCAAGTCAGTTGAGTACTTACTTGATTATGATGGGTTACGGGATTGAAACCTCAACTGCAGGAATGAATACCATATCTACTGAAAACAGAGCAGACTTCTTCACAATATTGATCTGAAGGCAACTTCTAGCTCAATATCTCCATAATTCCCATCATTTTCCATTAAAATTCTGGAAATTGCACTAGTTCATTTCATATTCACTGGAATGTCATTTTGTTTTCAAATTTAACTGTCACATGACACTGCATTGATGCCACTGCTAGAGTCAAGTCAGTACTTGATATGTTGACATTTGAAATTCCAACTAGAGGATTGAACACAATTTTTTCCTCTGTGATTTCTGTTCTGCAGTTCCAGGCAGTTCCTAATTTCAGTTGGAAATTGTTTTCTCACCTATCAACAAAGAATAATCATTGAAAAAAGATCATAAAGATCTTGACCTTCAACGACCACTAAATAACCGTTAGAACTTAGGACCATAAACCTCTCAGGGTAGGTGCCTATATAGGTATTTATCATATGTACTATAGTAAATATATGGTATTTATACACAAAATATTCAATTCTGAAAAAAAAATGGTGGCGTGATGTATCTCGCTACAAGAAGACATTTTGAAGATGAGCAAGCAACAGCTCTTTACTGGAAATGTACTACAGGAATACCTATAGAAGTAGGTAGTGTTTTTCATGGTTCATGCACGTTCATGCTTCCTGGTCCATGCATAGATGTATATAAAGTCGAAGGAATTAATTATATTATTAACTAATCTCAGTCAATGCCATAACCACAGACTATACCCTAACTACATACAGAGATAAGTTGGGTAACTTATCTCTGCTACATAGAAGCGTGAGACAAGTAATAAGTAATACCACAGATTAACAAAAGGTTCGTTAATCTGTGGTAATACTTAGCAGAGATTCAAGGTCACGAAAATTCGCCCAATGAAGATCGATATCGAAGTACCTTGCAAAGTACCGCATTTTACTTACGCTTCTACCTTTGCTTCTGTGTTAGGGTGTAATGTGCCATAAGCCATAACCCATGCACATAGAACCCAGACCATTGATAATCTAATAATTCTGATAGAAGGTGTAATAAACCGATCTGCTCTACTTATTTCCATCATTTCTACTTCTACCCCACCAATCTCTTCTTTTTTCCATGTACAGGTTCAGGTTATTATAATGGTAGGCCAGCTAGTCTGACGGACAGGCGCATATATAATTATTTGGAATCAAAAGTGTGTTTGTTTTTCAGACATCCAACATCATGTTCTTCTATTGCGGAAATACTTTCAGTCCTCTTCTTCAACACAATGCGCTACAAAGTATCAGCACCAAGGGATCCTTCCAACGACAGGTTTATCTTATCCAAAGGACATGCTGCACCGGCTCTATATGCTGCCTGGTCTGAAGCTGGTCTTTTCCCAGTGGCGGATCTCCAGAATTTGAGGAAAATCAACTCAGACCTTGAGGGGCACCCTACTCCCAGACTGAATTTCATCGATGTAGGAACTGGTTCTCTGGGACAGGGTCTCGCTATCGCAGGAGGAATGGCCTATGTTGGCAAAAACTATGACAAATCTAACTACAGGCATGTTGTAGTATTCCTGTTATCTGATCTCAAAATTTAATCAATTTTTCTACAGAGTCTACTGCCTTGTTGGTGATGGAGAAAGTGCTGAGGGCTCGATCTGGGAATCCGTACACTTCGCTGCACACTACAAACTGGACAATTTGGTGGTCATCATCGATGTAAACCGTCTTGGACAAAGTGAAGAAACTTCTCTTGGCCATGATGTTGAAAACTACCGCAGACGTTTCGAATCATTCGGAATGCACGCTATCGTAGTAGATGGGCATGATGTAGAGGAACTGATAAAAGCTTTACATACAGCTGCAACCACCAAGGGCAAACCAACAGCTATCGTTGCCAAGACCTTCAAAGGGAAGAATTTCCCCAAAATCGAGAACCTGGATAACTGGCATGGCAAAGCTTTGGGAGACAATGCTGAAAGAGTCATTGAACATTTGAACTCTTTAATCAAAAACAGCGGACCCTTGCTAGTACATCCTCAGAAACCTTTGAAAGATGATGCCCCAGTTGTGGATATCACAAACATCAAACTGGATTCGCCGCCTGATTACAAACTTGGCCAATCTCTAGCTACCAGAGTTGCTTATGGAACAGCTCTTGTAAAAATCGCCAAAAACAATCCAAGGGTAATTGCTCTAGACGGAGACATGAAGAACTCTACTTTCTCTGAGAATTTGAAGAAGTATGATCCTACCAGACACATTGAGTGCTTCATTGCCGAGCAAAGTCTTGTTGGTACCGCCATTGGCGCTGCCTGCAGGGACCGCACAGTAGTATTTGTCTCAACTTTCGCCACTTTCTTTACCAGAGCTTATGATCAGGTCAGTAAATTACAGCTTTTTAAAGCATTTTCTCAACTGATAACCTCATTTGTCATAGATTCGAATGGGAGCTATTTCTCAGAGCAACGTCAACTTCGTCGGGTCTCACTGTGGAGTCAGTATTGGAGAAGATGGGCCCAGTCAAATGGGTCTGGAAGACTTGGCGTTATTCCGATCTATACCTGGCAGCACCGTTTTCTATCCAGGTGATGCAGTGGCTACAGAACGTGCAGTGGAACTGGCTGCTAACACCAAGGGCATTACTTTCATCAGGACCAACAGACCTAACACTCCTGTGATCTATCAGAACAATCAAGTTTTCGCTGTAAGTAGAAAACCCATGACTTTCCTTGTTTATTCATTGGTCACCTTCTGTGAACGTTTTGATATTTATCGGGTCTCTCAACGCAGTCTCAATAAATAATGAATAGAATAGAATAGACTAATGCTCGGTACAGATGACAGCTTTTCGCATCTCAGCTTATAGCACTTCGGATTCTGATTGATTGGTCACAATTAATACTCATAATAACAGAAAGTTCGTTTCAAGGTCAATAAGCGGAAAATGTTCAATCATTTAGAACATTCAATAGAAAAAAAACTGATATTTGTCTAGTATAACCCTAAAATAGTGAATGTGAACAGTCCGCGCTTCATTATTCATCTTTCCGCTACAGATGACAGCTTACAACTTACAGCCATCAATTAAATTACACCCTGTATAGATGGATTTTTAAGTGATAACTTCTATAATAGGCCCGTTAGGCACTTTCTGGGATGAAAGAGTTTTTTTTTTATCGCTTGGAGCGCACGAAGGACGGCAAACTCGCGTCACGGTCACCGTAACCAGGGTTTTATTTTTTCTTGGACGCAAGGAAATTCCTATGATGTTCGAAGATAAGTTCTTGGGAAAATACTTCCATTGCCAGTTCTGCCGAATTCTCTCAGAGAAAATCCCAGTAAATATGTAGAAAATATTTTTTTTTATCTGTTTGTTAACCTGTAGCTATAGGTAGATATTAGATATTGCAGTCATTTTGTTTGATATGTCCAATACCTAGGTCCTAGGTTCCGCAAGTTTCCTTTCAATTAATATTTGGATGTATTATTGTTACTACAAGAAATATATTTAGGCTCTTTTTGATAGATACAACTATGGCTGTTCATCCAAATTATTCCAAACAGTAGGCAGATGAAGGTTTTCTTTCTTTATTACAGGTTGGCAAAGCTCATGTAGTGAAGAAGTCTGACAAAGACCAAATCGTTCTCATAGGCGGAGGCGTGACCCTTCACGAGGCCATAACGGCCTCGGCAGAACTAGCCAAAGCTGGTATCGGGGCCAGAGTGATCGACCCGTTCACCGTAAAGCCCCTGGACAAGGAAACGATCGTCAGCAACATCCGACAATGCGGGGGCAGGGCTGTCGTGGTTGAAGACCACTACTACGAGGGTGGACTAGGGGAGGCTGTGATCGCTGCGGCTGCTCTGGAAAGGAACACGGTCATCAAACATCTCGCCGTGGGAGAGGTGCCGCGGTCTGGGCCCCCTCTGGTGCTGCTGGACAAGTACGGCCTTTCGGCCAAGCATATCGTTGCTGCTGCGCAAGAGGTGTTGAAAATCTGAGAGATTTCGAAGTGTTTCTTGAATTTTTTGATGGTTCCATTTTTTATATTGTCTATTCTGTACGTTCTAGTTGAAATGAATATAAAATTTATTTTATTGATGTGATTCAGCTATTTGAATTCTCAACAAAAACCACAATAGTCATCACCGTTGATCTTTACTCAAACCATAATTCACTATTGACTGATATTTGATCGGAACAGATACAGGGTTGGTTCAAGATTCAGAATTCTGATCATCCTGTGTCTGTTCCGATTAAATATCAGTAAATAGTAGATCAAAAGTTGAGATAGGGACATATGTGAGCCGTTTTGACCGATAATGAATAATTTCGACAAAAACAAAACCCGAAGTTGAAAAATCTCGATTTCGAACACCCTATATCTCTGTAATCATCTCCGATATACTCCAAGTGTTATGCATCGATGAAATCAGCTCTTCAGGGGGAACAAAAATACAGGGTATTCTATTTGGAATAAAAAAGTTGTTGCTACTTCTTTTTAGAAGCGACAACAATGGATTGCTGAAAATATTTTAAATGAAGAGAGTGTATTCAGAAATATGAGCATGCATATTTTCATTAATTTCTCCCGAATGATTCTCGATATACAGATAGTACATGTAAGCGCGTCGTGACATACCCTGTATATTAAATCAGACATAATAATTGTTGAAGTAAAAATTGGAAACGCCATGGCCCACTAGCAAAAATTTATCATAGTCTGAAGTTTTAGTGTTTTTTAGGATTTCTGGAAATCCTATGTACAAAGTTTTATGTGTCATTTCGAATGGAAACAAATAACGGATTCAACTTCGGTTCAACTAAATAATAAAATACATGTCGTATCACCAAAATCATAACCCCTAAAGAAATTGAGTACGCCACTGCTGAATTCTTCGCAAAAATTCTCTGTTAGACGTAGTATTCGTAGTAACTCAGCACAACCTTATTTCTAATAACTTCGTAGAGAAGCCTGGCAGTCTAAACCAAAATGTACATTTAAAACTGAAACACCCTGTATGTCTCCTTGTGCATTTTACACTCTTCATCGAGAAATTTGCTAGATTTTTTCAGTACTTCTGACTGTTAAATTCTTTCAAAATAACTAGAGATTTTCGTGAAAATTTTATTTTTAGCCTGTGTTTGATTTTTTCAAATCGTTAGAGTTTCGAAAATAATAGTGCCAGTATATCCGTGTTCAATTCTTCATCTTATATCTTGTATACTATATACCTGTCCCCCCTATATAATTTCATTATCGTCATTATTCATAGATAAATAATTTGTTCGGAGATTTATCAGTTATATCAGCATGATTCAACCTATTAGTCATTCATTCGAGACCAGGCGGTGAATCAAGACAGTCTTATATTAGATGTCATCATGTACGGTCGAATTTTGTGTTCGCAATTGAAAAATACGCGAAAGGAATTATTTATCGTTTCAACAAACGGAGTGTTCACTGGAAAATGAGTGCAAGTGTAGTGTTCTTGTATCCCTCATTCAATTCAGTGATTACATTATCGCGATCGTGTGCTGTTCTGGTGTTTCGTGTTGTTTCATCAAAGCTTCGCATTTTTCACGCTGGTGAGTGAATAGAGATTCTCTGTTTTTCCTCATATTTCCCTGTTTATATTTAACTTAATTACCTTCCTTATATGTTTTCAAAATAAGAAACGTCTGTTCTTTGAATACTTTCAAGATAATAATTCGAAACGAGTAAACCAGAAGAAAATAAGACGATTCGAATTTTTTTCATGGAAAAATAACTTTTTCCTAAACAGAGTGTTTCAGATTTGAATGTACATACGAAACCTGTAAATAGAGGAAACTTTGGTGGTTCCAATCACTCTCTATGGATGTGTCTTCCATCTTTTACTCGATCTTTTATAATCATTATAATATACAGGGTATGTCACGACGAGCTCACACTATCTTTATATAGAGAATCAGTCGGGAGAAATCCATGAAAATGTGCATGCTCATATTTCAGAATACGCTCGATCTCTTCATGTAAAATATTTTCGACAATGCAGTGTTGCCGCTTCTACTTGAAAGTAGTAGCCACATTGCTATTTCAAATGAAATATCCTGTATTTCATCGCATTTTTAGATTCTGCCTAAAGAGCTGATTTCATCAATATATATATTACACTTGGGGGCCTATCAAAATTGATTACAGAGATCTTCAAATTCGAGATTTTTCAACTTAAGGATTTTTGTGTGTTGAAACTATTTATATTATCGATCAAAACGGCTCACATGTCCCTATCTCAACTTTTGATTCACTATTGACTGATATTTGATCGGGACAGATACAGGGTGGTTCAAGATTCAGAATTCTGATCATCCTGTGTCTGTTCCGATTAAATATCAGTAAATAGTAAATCAAAAGTTGAGATAGGGACATATGTGAGCCGTTTTGGCCGATAATGAATGGTTTCGACAAAAACAAAACCTGAAGTTGAAAAATCTCGATTTCGAACACCCTATATCTCTGTAATCATCTCCGATATACCCCAAGTGTGATGCATCGATGAAATCAGCTCTTCAGGGGGAACAAAAATACAGGGTATTCTATTTTGAATGAAAAAGTTGTTGCTACTTCTTTTTAGAAGCGGCAACAATGCATTGCTGAAAATATTTTAAATGAAGAGAGCGTATTCAGAAATATGAGCATGCATATTTTCATTAATTTCTACTGAATGATTCTCGATATACAGATAGTATATGTAAGCTCGTCGTGACATACCCTGTATAGTAAATCAGACATAATAATTGTTAAAGTAAAACTCGGAAACGCCATGGCCCACTAGCAAAAATTCATCATAGTCTGAAGTTTTAGTGTTTTTTAGGATTTCTGGAAATCCTATGTATAAAGTTTTATGTGTCATTTCGAATGGAAACAAATAACGGATTCAACTTCGGTTCAACTAAATAATAAAATACATGTCGTATCACCAAAATCATAACCCCTAAAGAAATTGAGTACGCCACTGCTGAATTCTTCGCAACATTCTATGTTAGACGTAGTATTCGTAGTAACACAACCTTATTTCTAATAACTTTGTAGAAAAGCCTGGCAGTCTAAACCAAAATGTACATTTAAAACTGAAACACCCTGTATGTCTCCTTGTGCATTTTACACTCTTCGAGAAATTTGCTAGATTTTTTCAGTACTTCTGACTGTTAAATTCTTTCAAAATAACTAGAGATTTTCGTGAAAATTATATTTTCAGCCTGTGTTTGATTTTTTCAAATCGTTAGAGTTTCGAAAGTAATTGTGCCAGTATATCAGTGTTCAATTTTTCATCTTATATCTTATATACTATATACCTGTCCCCCCTGTATAATTTCATTATCGTCATTATTCATAGATAAATAATTTGTTCGGAGATTTATCAGTTAGTAGCATGATTCAACCTATTAGTCATTCATTCGAGACCAGGTGGTGAATCAAGACAGTCTTATATTAGATGTCATCACGTACGGTCGACTTTTCTGATCGCAATTGAAAAATACGCGAAAGGAATTATTTATCGTTCCAAACGGAGTGTTCACTTGAAAATGAGTGCAAGTATTGTGTTTTTGTGTTCCTCATACAATTCAGTGATTATAGTATCGCGATCGCGTGCTGTTCTGGTGTTTCGTGTCACTTCGTGTTGTTTCATTAAAGCTTCGCATTTTTCACCCTGGTGAGTAAAGAGAAATTCTCTCAAGTTTTCCTCATATTTCCCTCTTTCCTCTTTACTTTCTACTTCATCATCTTATATGTTTGAAAATCACAAAGGTACCGCTTGTCATGCTCGCTTGTTGAACATTTTCCGATGAAGGAATACTTTCTTCTGATCTTCGTGCTTTCCATTCAGAACTATATTTTTTCAGAAGACAATAATGCGAAAAGAGCAAACCAGAAGAAAAGAAGACGATTCGAAATTTTCATGGAAAAATACCTTTTGCCTATACAGGGTGTTTCAGATTCAAATGTACATACTATACCTGCAGATATAGGAAAGTTTGGTGGTTCCAATCACCCCCTATCGATGTGTCAACCATATTTTATAACTGCAATACAGAACTTAAAATTGAATTCGGCAAAATCTGTATAATCGATATTCAAATAATATTATTCATCGAAACTAAATAGGAATCGAATTTAAAATCCGGAACCGGGCCGTCTTCAGGAAAATCAGAAAACTTCTTCTTTTTCAAAAACAACACTCTGTATATCGGAATTTTGTAGATATGTTTTAATATTTGCAAAGAGCGGGAAAACTAATGACTTTTTTTTAAATATTTTCCGATGAAGATACATTTTCTTCTGATTTTCGTACTTTCCGTTCAGAACGGTATTTTCTCAGAAGAAAATGATACGAAAAGAGCAAACCAGAAGAAAATAAGACAATTCGAGATTATTTCATGAAAACATATTTTTTGCTATACAGGGTGTTTTGGATTCAAATGTACAAACATCGATGTGTCTACCATCTTTTAAAACTGTGATACAGAACGTGATCTTGATTTTGGCAATATCTTTATCTGGTCAGCTCATAACTTTTGATCCATACTCGATAGGTATATTCAACTCATATTATATACTCATCAAAATTGAATAGGAATCGAATTTAGAATCTAGAACCGTCTTCAGGGAAAAAAAAAACTTCTTTTTTTTCAAAAACAACACTCTGTATATCAAAATTTTGTAGATGTTTTAATATCTGCAAAGGGCAAGAAAACTGAATGAATTGGCGTACTATCCAACAGTGCGCATCCGTTTTGAATTTTTTTCATCATTTTTTTTTTAATAGAATTTTTATTGAGCTCGTAATTCAAAATTCAATTTTATTGCAAAAAAATTATCAATTCTCAAATTTCAACCTCATTAGAGTCGAATTAGGTAAACTATCGATAGAATTCATTGCATAGAATAATTTGTCAAATAGTTTAGATACTTCAGAGTGCTCGTTACAATTCCACTATTTCAAAAAATAATGATAACACAAATGTGATTATGCAGTTATGCCTCGAGTTATACCCAGTGGTAAAAAAATAAAGACCATATAAAGATTTTGCCAAAATTATATTTTCAGCCTGTGCTTAA